AGATAAAAGGTAAGAATGCCAAGAAGGGAAGAGTTTACATATTGTCTAGAGGGCATGGGATAAAGTGTTATAAGGGAAGATAGACTTCAGTTTGACTTTAAAAAATGATTAGCAGTTGAGTAAATAGAAGGAGGGTATTTTAAATACCAAATTATGTAAATCTTGTGGAAAGGTCAGAAGATAAGAGTAGCTTGCCATGATACAGGGAGGTCAAGTGTTTGTGGTGTATTACAACATGGATGTGAATCTGAAGTACAATATTTTAATTTTACATATTTTCCCTTCATGTGTAAATGTCTGTAAAATGTTCAACTTTATAATATCAACTTTATTTTATAGATAAGGACTTCAAAAGCCTGTAAAAGGGGTATATATCCTATAAAGCCATGGTTAGGTATTATGGATAGAAGAGAAGAAAGAATTAAATTAGAGTCCAGATTATCAAACCTTGTTTTATTTTATCCCATAAAACCAAAGCTCCAGTGGGAGGAGGAAAATGCACTGGACTATGGTGATGGCACATGGGTGATTTGGTGATGGGAAACCCAAGGGGATTGCTACTGAGATGGAAAAAATACACAAAAATATGTAAAATAAAATTTTTTTTTAATTTGATTTTTATTTTTGATTTATGATTTGGTGATGGGAAACCCAAGGAGACTGCAACTGAGATGGAAAAATACACAAAAATATGTAAAAATAAAAAATAAACCAAAGCTCCAAGGAAATCTCTTGATTTAAAAGCTCTCCAATTAATACGTAAGTCTGGGATCTCTATCATAGCTGAAGCTTGCTATTACCATGCCTATGTTGCATCAACAGGGAGATTAAAAAAAAAAAAAAAACACAGCCCAAGCAGTTAAATTCCAAGATTGCATCTCCAAAGGGTAAAAACTGAAAAAAACCTTCAGATTCTCATGTTAATCCTGCTTTGTTATCTGCTTCCTTCAGGCTTACTCATCCTGGTAAACCCACCACCTCATCTATCATGGCCTCCACTCACCATCTCAAACCCAAACTACATTCAACATTAGTCTTTTTGACAGAAGGAAAATGAAGAGATGTATGTTCCCACATCTAAAATATAACCCAAGGAACAGCTGAAGTATAAGCACTCACTTTTTGGGGAAAAAAAAAAATTTAAGGAAAGAAAAGAGAAGGCAAGGGTAAGCTGCACACAGACCTAGGAGAGAAAATATAATAATCCAGAAAAAAGATAGATGAAAGAAGAAAGTTCTCCAGAAAGTTAGAGCTGATCCTAGAAAATAAATCTCTCAAAAATGGTGTCTAAAATATCAGGGGCCCTCCCTGGTGGCACAGCAGATTAAAGCACAGCACTATAAGCAAACTACAGCTGTTTCAGCGCGAGTTCAATCCCCAGCCCAGACGTGATCCACATAGCCAGGCAGACCTCTCCTGACCTGCCCACTGCTCCCCTCAGCAGTGTACACTGTCAGTCTGCTTGTTCTACTCTCCATTCTGTGTCTGGTATATCTTCTCGTCATCCCTGTGCCTCTGGCCTGTACCCCAGTTCTGTATCAATAAATAAATAAATCTTCAAAAAAAATAAAATATCAGAAAATCTACTGAATGAGTCCAAGAAAATAACCATAATCAATTCCTTGTCTGTTAAGGTAAAATATATAATTTACTTTTGTTTAACTTATTGAATGAAAAATTAAATACGTCAGGAAAAAACCTGCATTGTACACAAGGCAGGGTGAACCTTTCAGCCTTTGGCATGCAGGAAACCAAAGGGTTACTGCCCTACTAAATTTCAAAAGTGTAAGTAAAACATATCAGTTTTAATTGCCTGTAATCTGAGGCCAACACTTTTGGCATGTTTCCTTGTTCAGTGAAGTAACGGCACCAACAAGTATTTATTGAGCATTGCTATGGGTCAGGTGCTGCTGTGAAAACCACAGAGGATACAGCACTGAAGGTGACAGATGAGGCCCTGTCCTTATGGGGCTTATATTCTGTCACAAGATGGAATGACAAATATAGTTGGACCAGGGAATAAACCATGACTAATTCTCTAGTTCAAAGAATGCTGCCTTATAAGGCAGAAAGTTTCTTGCTGAATTGTAATTTTATACAGAACTGAATCTTTTCCAGTTGGGGAAACTTTCTAGTATATGTCTGATGGGTTTTGAGGATTTTAAAGGGGATAGGATGAGAGATGAAAAGCACATCCCATCAAGCTGGGGAATAAGTAATGCTCTAACACTGAACGCTTCTCATAGGGTCCCCCCAGTTCATCTGTGGTTTTGGTACAGAAGCACTTGGTGAATATGAAAAATTTCTAGGAAACTCTGCAGACTTGCAGAAACCAAATAGGAAAGACAGTTTGTCTTTGTTACTTTTTGCCATCTCCTTCCTTTACTCTGTTTTCTTTTACTTCTGTTTTTCTTCGATTTTTCTACTTTGGGTTCTTTTTTAAATTTTTCAATATTTAGATCAATGGCAGATGCATATAACATAAAAACCAAGCATAGAGCAATTTTCCTTACCTGATCCCTCTTACCTTCTCCCTACAAGTCCCTTTCCCTCTTTTTCCATCAGTCTTTGGTCCCCAACATTCTTTTTATATTACCCTCCTCTTTCCAATATTATCTTCCAATTCCCCTTCTTATTTTTCTTTTGGTTAGGATAAACAAATGATCACCAGAAGTAGAGAAAGGTGGAACTCAGTTAAAGCAAAAGGCTGACTATGCTTTGGGTAAAGGTATTCCCATTTCATAAGGATGAATCCCTTTGAGTTTAAAAAGTTTTTTTTTTTTTTAAGTTCTCTAGAACTGGGCTTCTACTAGATATAACAAATGAACATTATCAAAACAGCTTTATAATTTTCTTATCTCTCTAAAGATAATCTTTCAAAAGGCTTTTTGCATGTGTGTATATACTGAATAAACCACTTAAAAGAGAAGGGGAAAGAATGGCCCTGTTATTTGATCCTTATCAGATGCCCATTGCAAATGTTTCTTTAAACCTCAGGTTTAAGACCTTGACCCTCGTACCTAGAACCCTTCACTTTACTATTCTCCCAATTTTTGCTCCCTTCAGGGTTAATGGAAATGAGACCTAGGAAAAGCCTTGGTTTAGAATTGGACTGATGTTGATTTGAAGTCCAACCTCATGTCTTCTCAGACCAGTGATTGTAGGCAAGGAATTAAACAATCTAATAGTTTTCTCATCTGTAAAATATAGCTTATAAGAACAACTCCATTTAATGATCTAATTCACAAAAGCATTAATCATACTCTGCAGCAATATCTATGACATATATGCATATGTGTGTGTATATACATACATATATACTGAAATGTATATATATATATGCATCATATATACCATGTCCCTATCTTTTCTTCACACACACAGTTTACCTATCTGTCTTCAATGCCATTCTCCCAGAGTTCTGCCCTTCTAAAGTTGAAGCATTCACATTTTCCAGACTCACAATTAGCTAATGTAAGAATCTAATCACTGAAAATGTGCTAATGAGGAAGGATAAGAGGACAATGACTACTGCCTGGCAACTCAAATATCCTTCAGTGATAAAATATGGCTCTTGGAAACAAAACTGTACTAAAAATCGCATAGGCCAGAGCAGTGACTCACACTGAATTTTAAGCAGCAGCATCTGAGAGCTTACTGTAGTAGCACTCTGCAACTATGACAGCTTCTGTTACACATGCTAATACCTAGGCCACCACCAATTTAAAATTAAATAAATAAAACTTAAATAGACAATGTGTGCTTTTTTCTATAAATTAAAGCATGTGCAGAGACAGGCATCTGCTCCAGAACATTCTACAAAACAAATTTAATACCTAAGAAAACAGGGCCCCCAAAGGTTAAATGCCAATATAATATTTGTGATAAAGCAAAACTTAGAACACAATTTTCTTCTCAAATCAATATTTACAGACCATACCATGTTGATTTCATGAGGGATAACAAAATACAGGAAACCTACTTAGAAATTCCTTCCCCTCCTTCCCCACGCCCTAGTCATAAGATCCAAAAATTCTGAATTAGACAATGGCAATAAAACCACACTATTTGCCACACTAACAGGAAGGATTCGAGTAATGGACTCAGTGTCTGGCCATGCAAGTCAGTCACTTATTCATTTCTCTAGATGCTACTATTCCTGAGTGCATTCCAATTGCAGGCCACTTAATGCAAACATCTCACCGGCTGTTCTGATGGGAATAAACAGTCCATCACAGTAAAAACTTGACGACCCTGACACCTAGTGGCTATGAAGAAACAAGATCCTTTTCCATTTGGGAAAAATAGCTTTGTAGCAGTATCTTACAAATACATCGAATTTAATGATTCTTAAAATTATAAATTACTGAACCTACAAGAAAACATAAAAGTCTATTTTGGCTCTTAATTTATCTTGAAGTCTAATCAAAGAGGTGAAAAGACTCTCTTTGAAAAGTATGTTTTCCTTCCACCTTTCACATTTAGCAAATTTTTAGTAATCTTCAAAGATCAAACAGGAAAACTAAAGGCTAATGTATATTTTGGCATATGTAAGACTCTAGTCCCTAAATTTTTATGTACATCCACAGATGACTTTTTTTTATGTACACCACAGGTGAACTTTTTATGTCAACCACTTAATATCCTCCTGTCAAATATAAAAGCCTTCGAACCAGGTTTAAACATCGAGGTTCCCTTTATGCCAGTGAGGCATCCTTAGTCAAAGACTAACTGGACCTTCACAAACTAGCTGGAGTTTTCTTTAAAGGGGATATAAGGGCACATGTGGAACTGCCTGCAGTGCACATCTAAAAGCAAATACCATTCAATACTACCTAAGCCACCTGACCACAGTTGGTGAGCAGAGCACAATCTATTTCTGCCCTAAACATTAGAAGGTATCTCTTCAGACCCACCTGAACTTCTGACAAAAAAGACAATGGGAAGCCTAAAGCGTTCATCTCAGCTCCTCCACCAAGGAGATGAACTCCAGCTCCTACCTGCTGACGTTTGAAGGCTAAATAATCCAGGTTTTCCAGTTCTTTGCCAAGCTTCTGGTAGGTTTTCTGGAGGTCAGATTTGTTGGAGACATTTTTGAGAGACTCAAATGTCCTTTGAAACTAAAATAGAAAAGCAAAAGTGAATCATTAGAATAGCAGCATATTTTCCTCAAATCTCTGTCTAACACAGAGCAATAGTCAATACAGAGCCTCAATTTCTCCCATTAAGAGATAATAATTTTACCTAATTGCTACTCAGTGATAATTATGAGCAAAAAAGTGCATCCTAAGTAAAACTATGACTGATGGTTTTGTCCGGATTCTAACAAAAAGCATACTGCACTTTTTTAAAAAAAAAAAATTTATAGTTTTTAAAAGCACACCGCTTTTAAAGAAAAAATTACAATGAAGGTATGATTGCAAATCATAATGAGGATATATTAAAAGAATTCTCACACTTCAACCATGAAGATAAATTTATGTAAAGGTAGGTGTTTGCCTCTGTGGAAATACGGAATAGGCACATAGTAAATCTCAGCCAAGATAATCTCTCAAATCTTATATTTCAAGAAAGAAAAAAATACTAACATTTTAATAATCGAAGCATATGTAGCATGTTCAGAAAACATTTATTCATTTCTGCTCTATAACACAGGTTAGTTATGAAATCAGTTCTGCTGAATCAGAATGCTTCCATTCAGTTTTAAGTCAAATACAAGATAAACACAAAGAAATATATTGCAGTGGATCACAGAATACTGTTCTGCTACTAATAATTAATTATGAAACAAAAACTCACAAGAAATTGAATTCTGGTTTAATTTAGTGAATTAGAACATACTTTGGAGGATTAGTGATTGAAAATGTCAAGTAATGTCGTTTGCTTGACATTGACATTGTTGTTTTGCTTTCTTGTTATCATTTATTTCTCATTTTCTCACTGTGTGCCATTACATAGATTTTTACAGAAGAAACTTCACCATCTTAAACACACAAGAATTCTACTGTAACTATGATGCTATGAGACAGGCTAATAAGATTTTGTAGCTTATATTAAGTTCCCAGGGAAATTATTTGACCCTTACAATTTCAAACTCTATGGAATAAGGCATACTATGATGGCTTTTTACTGAATTAAATCTTCAGTTTCATGCAAACAGCATGTTTATCTCAATTCAAGGTGACAGAGGAAAAAGAAATGAGAAATAATGGCACTAAGTTTCCACAGCAGAGCAGTTAAGTTAAACTCAACATATAATCTTTTAGACCTACTATGCACGGGGTACTGTAAATACAAAATACTTTTCTTGCCCTAAAGTAATTTACAGACTGCGGGGGGGGAAACAGACATAAAACTAAGAAATGGGGAAAACACTGACACTTCCTGAGTGCCTGCTCAGTGTCAAGCGCTTTGTGTTTTCCAATTTAATTCTCACAAGAACCACACAAGTTCCTATGTCTCTTCCCATTTTAAAAG